ACCGAAATAATAATTATTATTATACACACGAATTTGTTTCGCGCAAAAAAACAACACGCACAGGCAGTGCGCGTAATTATATACAGCGGCTGTTCGGGATGAAATTCACGCGAGATTTAGGTACACTGTTTTGCGTATCAAACTGCTATCGCCGTGTGCGTGTGTAATAATAACCGAAACTTTTCATGAAAAAAAAACTCGGGTATCGGAGGCAACGACGTAATTAAATAGGTATATAAATTAATAATATACCTATACGAATGTTCGAATGTTATGGACAAACACGACTTACACGGCGGTATATTATAGGTACAGTCTTCCAAACGATGTTCGGAAAAATGGTCGATTGACCCCACGACCCAAGCTTAAACAAAAATGTACCGACCAAACACCACTTGGGTCCGAAGAGTAGTGATAATATATATATATTATATATAGCACCTGTACGGCTATACAAGAGTTATACTACTACAGAAATTAAATGTGTTTCGCTCACGACTCCAGATTTAAAGACATTTTAAAGCGGCAGATATCTTGGAAAGTGGAAATGCTGTAGATCAGTAACGTTAATTTTACAAATAAATTACAATTCAACCAGTCGGGATTTATCGTAAAACAATACATTCCCCGTATATCTGACCATACATCAGTTAATATTTCCATCATACAAAATAAAACACACACTAAAATTCAGAAACATATATCTAAACAGGTATACACTTATAATAAGCACATCATCTACTACAATAAATTAACAATAATTCCATTTTTTCATCGACTTTTTAATAAAATTAGAAAACATAATAAACATTACTAATTTTATTAATTCACGTAAGGTAACGACAAAAAAATTTTTGGTACACAAGCATAATATATAATATATAAAATGTATAAAATATATAAATGTTATAGCATGGAATATTATTACAGATACACAACACTTATTTATACTGTAGTTCTCTACTAATTTTAATAATCAGATAATTATTTACCAGAAAATTGACAAAAACTAATATAAAATTATAAACCTAACTAATCGTATGTATGCTTTAATGAAGAGTATAGAATCCGTTCAATGTGATTACCTCCGGACCTAGTTATAATGGTATCAAGACTGATAGTATAAAATGAGATTAGACATTTTGTTTTCAATTAAATAATAAAATCACTTGGTAAATATATTTTAACAATGTAGTACTCCCGACATTGAATTAATAACAATTGATAAAATTACATTAAAAAACAATATTTATTTAAATTAGGTATGAGCTTATATGCTATATATTTGTTTTTATAATATTATGGCGCATATTAAATAAATCAAGCAAATTAAGTGATTACAAAAATATAATGTTTGAGATCAAAAACATAATTAACAACCGATAGTCAAAACTATATCGATCAATAATTTCGATAAAGGTTCACAGTTAAAAGGACGCCAACCCACATGACTTGTGTTCTCTCCGTCTTACAAGTGCCTAACATTTTAAGTTTGGCTCCGTTGATTTTTTTACGATAGTTCAATTTTTAGCAAGTTATGCGTATATAATATAGCGTAAATTAAAAATACTCATAACTCACATAAAAACTGAATAATAGTTTAAAAAACCAAATTACGAGCACATATAATGTTCTTACCATCAAGTTTTGTTATCTTTCGGTTCACCCTAATTTTTTAATTAACTGAGCTAAACTTGATCCGCGAAGCGTAAATAGCTATGTAACTTACTTGTAAGACGCGGAGACAACACATGCGGGTGTGGCGTTCTCTTAGAGCCAGTTGTACCATTTATGATTAAAGTTAACCGGAGTTTAATCGGCCGATTTTGCCCGGTTAAATATCTGTTATCAGCTGATTAAGCTTAATCGTAGTTTAACCGTAGACTAGCCCTTAAGGTGATAAGCATATTCCGTCGTATTGCATAATTTTATTGATTTAACTATTTAAAAACTATTTAAACTTTATATAATAAATACATCCCCTTTAGGTATTCCATATTAATAACAATTAAAAAATCAAAAATTTTAAAGTATATTATAATAATCAAGATTGGGTAAGGTAAATCTTTCAGGGTTATTGGTTAAGATTACACTTGAAGAATGTGAAAATAATTCATCGAAATACAAGAAATTATTGTAAGACCAAAATAAGTTCCTTGCTCTGTTCAGAATTTAAAATTTGCAAAGTTATGATTTATGTACTCAATTAAATAACCTTTTTGTTAATATGTACAAATTGTAATTAAATGCTTTTAAAACTAATTATAACTACTAGGTATCACCTGCATCAATAATAAATATAATTCGTTTACGGTTTACTTAAACTACTTTTATACCTTAATTCAAATATTAGTAATTGGTAAAGTAAAAAACCGTAAAAAACTATCATAGGTATTATTATTTATCATCAAACCAGTTAATTTATACAAATTATTTTCAAGTGAGAAAAAAGTTTAAGCACTTACGTAGATAACTTATAAAATCAAATTAATTTTAAGAGGGTTTCTTATTGTCCAAACTGGTTGTATCCTTCAATGTGTTCGTTATCCAAACAGGTTGTCAAATGTCATTCAAACGACTTAAAAAAAAAATTAATACTACCCAAACATGCATCCTCAACAGCTTACCAATCGAAACTCCTCCATTGACAGTTTCCACTCAACCCTTCATTATTACTATATAAATATATGCTTTTATTCATATAGGTACCTATATTTATATATATATATAATATATAATGTATTATATGACTTACATATTATGATGTATAATAATTTTTTTAATTAATAAATAAAAATAACGAACTAGTTGTTTTGCCATAATTGCGAACGATATTAAAGACGCGTAAATGCGGTGGGATACGAACTTTCAATGAAACTGATGTCAAAACATATTTTTATCACGTGCAGATAATATGCCGTGTAGGAAGACGATGTTTACATGTAATTATATTATATTACATTATAAACTTTTAAAATTTTCACAATTTACAACAGTCATAATATACTTATTGTTATATTATATTAGGTATACCTATAATATTATGAATGAAAAATATTACGCCTGCACAAGAATATTATCCAACGTACGAGTATCATATCTACCTACAGCCGACGGCGATCAACATTATTTAATGCACACACGCAAACAAAAAACACCCGCCACATATCATATTATTTTACTCTTTCGGCCCCGGCGGTGCAGGTGTCACACACACCACAGATTACTTATACCATTGATTTTTAAAACAAACAGATAAGCCATGAAATTATAAAGAGCTATTCGGCTACCAAGCCCCCTGATCCCACGCATCCACATTATGTACATCGATCTGCCACTCCCTGACACCACCGTTGTACCCGTCAGATCTGTGTATAATAATATATCGGCAGGGTATAAGCGTCTACCTATATCGTATACTACAATGTTGACAGCGGTGAAAGAAATTATCTCTATGTAGCCGCGGCGTTCTGTCATCGAGCCGCCGAACTGTGTACATAAGAATCGATAATTTACCAATGATATTATCGAAAAAATCGAGAAAAAAAAATCTGAAAACCGTATGGATAATATTATGGAAATAACGAAATACAGTATAATATACGAAGATGACGTTATTGTGGCGTTTCTCGAGCATCCGAAATCGCCGTTCATATAGTTTATTATTCATTCACTATTATTACTATAATATTGTAAGTAATCTAATACATGTATTATATTACATTAAACAAAAACTGTTACCTATTATAAATATTATAATTATTATTATTGTTGTTGTTATTATTTGTACACACTATTGTACTAATATACAAGTCGTATTATTATGTCTAACTACAGAGATAGCAGTAATTGATATTTACGACAAATATTAATTTAGTTTAATTTAAATACACACGGCTGGCGACAGTCGTGGGAACCCGTCGTCAAACGACCAGTGTATACATATACTTGCTGTGCCCCCCACCCCGTCGCCCCCATAAACACGATATATATTGCAATCGTGGATAGCGTCTGCAATTCGACGAGAACTATAAAAAAAATAAGTTTTTTTATAAAATATATATTATAGGTATATATAGGTACAGCGCGTGTAAATGCGTGCCACATAAACCGCGCACATATCGCGTACGTCATTTACACGGCGTCAAACACGTCACAAACGCCGCGCATAGGTATATAATATAACGCGCGATTATCGTAGCAATAAAATATAAAAAAAAAATATGGAATTAAATATGTCGAAAAAAGTCGTCACGAGCAAAGTTCGTATCCGACGGTCGTCGTCGTAAATGCATATTATACATCTGCGATACTAAAATAATGTACAGCCGTTACGGTTATATTGCAGTGTACTTCCCTCCATATAATATAATATGTGTAGTATAATTATTATATTATTGGTGTCCCTATACGGATTCATTACCACGACACGACACGCGTCGGAAAAACGATAAAGTACCTATATTGTTTCATGCTATATAGATGCATAAAATGGTTGGAATAAAATTAGGAAACGGTCTTTAAATGAAACAATTACAAAGGCGTCCACGGAAAGGGGGGACTAAGTGGACTACTGCCTGCCTGGAATTTTGAAAGCTGCATGTGGCATATCATATAGTTTATAAAAAAATTCTAGAATAAAAGAGTGTTGTACCTATGCTATATTAGAATACTAGAGATCATGGGTACTTAAGTTTAGGTATAACAAAAATATATACTAATTTGTCAATTGAATTTTAATCATGTTCCGTTGGGAATTTTATTCTGCAGGTGAGCTTGAACAATTAATAAACTATCTATATTTGAATTATTGAAATCTAGAGATGATATCATTATTTTGATCGATTTTCTGACCACGTTTCGACCGTGGTTTATCGCAGTGCGCGCGTGTATATAATTACCATTACGACGACAACTTCACGGCCCCGAGGTGATACCGGTACAATTATTACAATATTAGTACAGTGAGAAAATATTTCTAGAAAAAAATTATACGTTACCTCGATCGCGGTGGTCAATATCATCAACATAGTGATGATCGCAAGCGCGAACTTGGACGGCCCGAACGACGACTGCTGCCTTGCACGTCGGCGCACCGGCCGTGGATGGCCGGCGGGTGGTGGGTCAGCGATTTCGCAGTCGTCGTGAACCTCACGATGGCAGAAAGTTGGACGACACGTCGAAGTCGACGTCCACCCGGTCCATCTTGGCCGCCATACCCATTTGCTGGTGCTGGCAGCGGTGATGGTCATCTCGGCTGAGGAGTCTGCGTCGGGCTCAAGTGGTGCCCGTCGGCGGTGTAGCGGATAATCGGTGAGCGCGTCAACGGCAACGAAGAGATCGCCGTCCCGCCGGTGGGCTCCTCTGCGGCGGTCGCCGATTCCGCCGCATGTGTAACCTCCACATGCGGCGGCGGCGGCGGCGGCCGGCGGCGGAATGACGTTAATAATTAATATTCGGTCGGAACGTTCTGTGGCTTTTTACCGTATTTGTTCAATATTGTACGTTTCGCTCGGCACACTAGGCGTTTCGTGATTTCCCGGAGCACAGAATTAAAACCCCAAAAAAAATGTTGTATACGAGTATACTGAAGCTGCACGTCGTCTGCAGGGACGACGAAGAGGAAAATTTTTATTTCACCCGATTCGAGAAAACGATTAAAAACAATTGACAATATCGACAACCTTCTGGTTATAAAATAAAAATTAACGGCACAAAAATAAAACCGCGTCGGCTTTTCGTTTGTCACCCGCGCGATCGGAAAACATACGCGACACACGACAACGACGATAATGACAACTGTGCACTACGACTACCGCCTACTACTAGTGAAAAGTGGTGATACACTGCCGGGCAGGACGGCTCTTGCTAGAGGCACAGCGGCGGCGGCGGCTGCGGCAAACGTCTGACCACGGGCAAAAAGCGGCGGGAGTATCAGAGCCCGGAGCGGCGGAGTGCTTCTGGTAGTAGAATAGTGTGTAGTAAGTAGTAGTAGTAGTAGTAGTAGTGGTGGTGGCGGTGGTGGTGGTGGTGGCCGTTGGTGGTGGTGATGATGCCGGCGGTGGTGGGAGTATAACGAGACTACGGTGTGCGAGCGGTGGCGGTGTGGAGGGTAGCCTCGCGGCTGCGGCGGCGGCGATGCCGGTCACCGGCTCGCGGGCGCGCGTCGCGGTGGTCGTCGTCATCGGCAGCGGCGGCGCGGCGGCGGCTACGAGGCAATGCCCGAGGCCGCCCGCTAGATCACGACGACGAATAATGTCGAAGCGGTGGCGGCGAGAGGAGAGATTTAGTTTGCCGTGTAATGTACCGATCTATTTAGTTAACTATCGATATCGTACATGACGTATATAGTTTATATGGATACGTTTTAATTTATTATAAATCGCCAAAGGGATAATGCCTGAAGTCTCATTATTAGCAACGTCTCGCAGCGATGCGCGCGAGTCAAGAGGAAATATGTAAAAAAAAAATAAAAAAAAACCTTAAGAACTTACATTTTCCCGACAGTATTCTTCCTCGTGCCTCGCGTACGGTTTCTGTTTTTCGCATTCCGCATACCTATTATAATATTAGTATACATAGACGCGCGTACCTATATAATATAATAGCCAATAGGTAATAGTTACGCGTGTCCCATGTGTCGCGACAACGATGGACGGTGTGAAATTAATTACGCATTGGTGTATTACGATTAGTATAATATAGTATAGGTATACGTATATATAATATATATATATGTTAAAATACAATACCTACATATTTACACACGCAATACTGCATATTATCGCAGTGTAGTAATTATGCAGTATAACCTATGCAATTGTCTTGTACCTATAGAGGTACGAATGTTCGATAGCAATGGTATCTATAGTATAATAATAATATATATACCTCTAGCTATTGTATAATAATATAGGGAACCATAGTAATTAGCAAAACGTCGATCTCGTTGATTTATTACGAATAGTTATTGTTTATGGTAGATGCACATATGCAAATTTCCAGTGGTTTGTCAACCTCGGTTATAAAAATTGTATTTTTTGTATACATCACAAATGGCATTCGGAAAAATCTAAGAGAAACAAATTCCAAATTATTGAATGCAAATTATATAATTGGTATACATACTGTTCGATTTACAAACATTATTAAAAGCATTATGAGAGTTAAGTAAAATTAATAATTTCTATTTATGTCTTAGTCTTTTTATTTTGTTAATCGTCCGTGTCATCAGTTTGAAATTTAAAATATATTTATATAGTGTAGTAATTAATTAAATTCAAACGACTTTCGAATTTTAAATAAACTACATTACTACGCTACGTTGATCGGAAATGCTGATTAATTGTAATTTTTATTGAAAAGATAATCGACAACGCACGTCGTGTCATATAAAAGTGGTTTAAAAATTATGCGTTCGTTTAAAGCATAATATTTTACGAAATGTATTAGGAACATGTCACTATAATATAATATCGATAATATTATAATTAAAATAATTTGTCAACTTTTCTAAAACGTAGAATAATAATTTCAAATGAACATAAATAACTGTGCACCGCACTATTCAGAGTATGCGTAATAAAATAAATATCAGATTAAATAATTTATTACAAGCAGCCAAGCAGGAATAACAATTTTACCATGGGAATTATTTATCGATATAGAAAATAGGTATTATTTTTTAATTTAATTTAACCATTTATAATATATATATATATATATTTGTATTGACACCCAGCCGTGTCGCCCATATAATCTTAACCTATACCTACTCAACGAGAACAAACTGTTCTATACTACATTTATTTTTGGTAAACGAGCATTGTGCATTTTAACCATCCCCTAATCGGTCATTTTTAAAAAGTATAACAATAACAATGTAAACGCGTAGAACGATAGATTTAGAACGCGTATATTATTTTCTTTTTAACCTAATCGAGGTAATTCAATAAGTCGCTTGTTTTCAATGATTTCTCTTCGATTTTAAGAATAAATATTTAGCGATCAATAATTCATTTTGGAGGTCACGATAAAAGAATCGGCGAAAAAAATGTATATTTGGATGTAGGTACCTATGTAATATATTTTATTTAAAACGAGTATCTTAATGACACGAAAAATGCACGCGATGTAAGCCGACATTTTTACTTTCTCGTTTTTAAAAATCGAGCAACTATTTCCACGGTTACCTAACTCGATATTGAAACAAAAATAATTTTCACGGTTGCCCAACTCGAAGTCGGAGTAAAACAAATTACGATATGAAATTTACTCATATTGCAACCTATCTGCATTAGATGAATTTAGATGTACCTCCCTCGCCAGTCTATAATATTCAAGAGTAATCCACAGATAAAAATGACTTTACCCTAAGTTCTATTAGAAATCGAAAACATTATTAATACCTATATATTGAATCGTTTTAATGACAATCAATAACAATCGTACATTATGTTATGTAATTTTTACATAAACTAATTGAACACAAAATGCAATTTTATCGTATCTTTTCCAAATTGAATGAAGAGTACCTGAGTACCTACCTACTTACAACATATTTTTCTGTATACAGAATATAGATGAAGGTGAAGATGGTCTGCAAGAACCGGCTATCTCCACTTTTTTCCAATTTTCGGAATAATTTTGTTTACATTTTGGTCCAATGACTTGGTATATCTCCGTCTGTTAGATAAGCTAATATACAAATGGAGATGTCTAATGCACAGAGTTCGGTGCAGCAATAACCGGTTGTTATTTTATTTTTTTTTTATTTTTTTTTTTATTAGGGTTGAGGATTCGACAACAAAGATTATTAGCCTGTGGTACTGTAGGGGGGGGGAACTGTAGGTTGTTAACACGTGTGTGGGTTTTGGCAGAATTTTCGATTTGGGCACCCGTAGGTATCTGCCATGGCCGGGAGGGGGATGGCGGCATTTGTTCTCCGGACACCGTGACTTGCCCGAAGAAAAATGCCGCCCGTGACCACGGGATCGAACCGGCGACGGAAGCGTCGCAACCGACGCCTTAGGCCGCTCGGCCACTCCGTCCCCCGGTTGTTATTTTAATAATCATAATTATGATGAAAATAAGAATATATAAATACAAGTATACAACACGGGAAAATAAAAGTATCATTTCATTGATAAAATATTGCATAAAAATAAAATAATAGCAATTTTTATGGCAACTTATTACAATTATTATAGTCTTCAATTCATTTATTTTTTGAAGATATATGAATACAATTAAGTACTGATGATTCCCCTTATAAAATTGTGCTCACGGTTAATTGAATCATTCACCTGTTGGATTCAAACAGTAGGCTGGTCTCGATTAACACACAGAAAAACATATTTAGTCGTCCATTAAACTCACTACACCGGTTAATGTGTATGTTTAAGGGCACAGTTCCTAATTTTATGAATATATTTTGACAATGAATACGATTTCCTCACTCATCATATCGAAAAGTACTTACGTTTATGAAATTTTTTTAAATAACTTAAAGTCATTACAAAACTACATTTTTGGAAAAAAACTGTAGTGGACTCCAACTGCTGGCTGCAGTCTCCGATTTATTTATGTATATTAGCACATAGAAAAACATTCGTCCATTAAACTCACTACACCGGTTGATGTGGTCAGTGTGTATTTAAGGAATATTACCCAATTTTACGAATATATTTTGACGATTTACGATTTCCTCACTCATCACATCGAAAAGTATAAACGTTTTTTAAATTTTTTTTATCATATTTTACCTTTATGAATGACAACATACATATTTTTTATAATATATGTAATAATGAATATTTATAAGTACATTACCAAATTTAATTTAATTTATTATAGTGAATATAATATACCTAATAATATGTATACACTATACTTATATATTTTTTATATTCATGGAACTTTTACGTTATTGACTCAATATGCTCTGGTACTATAAAGCAGTGGCGGCGCGAACTTTTTCGACAGTGAGGCAAGAAAATGTTAGTTGCAGCACACACGACCCACCTTTTTATTTTGCACAGAGCCGTGGGGGGCTACGCCCGCGCGTTTTCATTTTACATTGATTAAATTCATATGCGCCATACCGGCGAGGGAAACGCGCCATCGTCGGAGTGGCGCGTATGAAACGGGCCTTATCCACGGAAAAGTTTTTATCTAGTTTAAATCCGATAATAAATAATAAGATAAGATCATAACATCGAGCGTCTGTCTACGTAGAACGCGTGTATAGTTC